CGCCGGGGTAAGGAGGGGAGGCTAGACCATCCAAATTCACAGCCTCTTTTTTTCCGGTCTTCCCGGTCTACCAAGGACCCGGCCCGCCGCGACCGGGGAGTCTGGGTCCTCCGGAGGACCCGGCCTGTCGTTTTGGACACAGCCAAACTCACAAAAACAGCACTGTAAGAGGGGGGCAATTGGACATGGAGGCCTCCACCCCTGTTAAATGATGGGCAGTGCCTCTCCACAAAAAAGTCTTCCTTAACTCCTCTTTCAAACCACTCTGTCAATCTCTATCAAGGATGAGAACATCTCCATTCTTGTGAGAGTGACCACTGGTCTGCAGATGAGTGCAAACTGCATATTTCTGACCTGATGATGTTGCTCTTCTGTATTGGTCCATCCTAACAGTATCTGCTTTGTTTCCTTGACGTATAACTGGTCACAGTCCTCCTGGCACTTAACAGCATATACAACATTACTCTGTTTGTGCCGGGGATCAGATCTTTTGGGTGAACCAGTCTTTGCCGTAATGTGTTTTGGGATTTGAAAGCCACTGGGACGTCAGATTTAGACAATAGATGTTAAGCAACATACGGAATGACGACTGGTTTGGGTCTGGCTTTTGGTCTTCATTTTCACCTGGTTGTTGGCTGGAATCCTGTTTGGGTTTCTTGTCTGCTTTCAGAAAAGCCCAGTTAGGATAATCGCACTGCTCCAGGGCCTGTCTTGTGTGTGATTTCTCTTTCTCCCTGGCTCCTGGGTTTGTGGGGACACTGTCTGCTCTGTGGTACAGAGTCCTGATCACTCCTAACTTGTGTTCCAGTGGGGGATGGGAATTAAACCACAAATAAGGTCTGTGGGTGGGTCTGTGGTACACATCAGTTTTCAAACATCCTCCATCAGTCTGAAACATTACTGTCCAGGAGAGCCAACCTGCTATTTTCTACATCCTATCGTTTGAACTTTATATATGTATCCATAGAGTTGATGTAATCAGTGAAATGTTGGATTTCCTGGGATTTAATTTTAACCCAGGTGTCATCAACATACTTTAACCAATGGCTCAGTGGTGTCCCTGAACAACGAGCCATTATATGTCTGAGTTTACCTTAAACTCCTCAGAATGAAGAAGTCTCTTGGAGAAGAGACGAAGCATTAATGATGAATATAACATAAATATGATAAATATTAATATATTGTGTGGAAATGTTTGTGCACAGCTCTCATCAGGTCACCACACAATTTCTTTTATTCATCTTGAGCTTTCTAATAACATGTACTGAAGCTCCTTCAGTGTTGCTGTAGGCTTCAGAAGCAGATGTAACTAATCAATCACAGTTAGTCTCTAATGAGTAGAGAGAATATTCTGTGAGTACCTTTCCTTTGACTCTATCCAAGTCTTTGAGGAGCCGAGTCTTTTCTTCCTCCAGGTCATTACGATAGCGTGTGTTGACTTCCAAAGAGGCTTCGCTCATCGACAGCTTTTTCAATGAATCGGCTAGCTCCTGTTGTAGCTGCCTGAGACTAGTCTGTGCAGACAGAAATCAAAGTATAAAGAGACATAAAGTGACTTCATCTTTTGCAAATTCCATGACTTTCCATGACCTGAAATGACATTTTATGACTTTCCAGGCCTGGAAAATGAAAACCCATGACTTTCCAGGTTTTTCATGACCAGTGGGAACCCTGTTCAGAGTGAGAAGTTAGCGATCTTATCCGCTCCAGTCTTAATCTTACCTCCCTTTCATTCTTCTCTTCTTCTAACTTGTAGATCTGATCCCGAAGATCAGCAGCCTTACTGGAGAGCTCCTTGTTTCTTTCTTCTATTAGCTGAACTCTCTCTTCACAGTCAGAGCGCAGCTTGGACAGAATGTCACTGAAGCGCTCTTGGGCATCTGTCACAGCACGTTCTTTTGCAACGCCTTTGTTTTGGGCTTCTTCTAGTTGTTGACGCAGTAACATAGCCTCGCTTTGGGCTTGGGCTAATCGTTCTTGTGACGCTTCTTGACGTGCACCGGCACGACTGACTGAGTCCCTCTCAGCCTGTAGAGCTATTTCCATCTCCTTCGCGCGTGTAGCAGCCTGGTCCTTCTCTCTATGGAGGACGTCCAGCAACAGGCCCTTCTCCGTCAGCTGTAGGGTGGCCCGGTGGACCTCGTTCTCCATACTGTTGGCGCGAGCCTCGGCCTTGGCCAGCTTCTGTGACAGGTTGCTGACAGCTTCACGCTGATTGGCTACTTCAGCTTTACAAATACAAAGTCAGAGTTAAACAAACATTTTTAGGTCTCAAAATACTTTGGTAGAAAATATGTTCTGAAGAAAATGATCAGGAAATTCTAAATGTTTGGTTAATTATAATTTTATAAAGTAATAAAAATTTTAATATTGCAGCTGTTCAGGTATTACACACATGACTAACCAGTGAGTCTGTCTTTAAGCCTTTGGTGTTCTTCCTTCTCCCTGAGCAGAGCTCTCTCTGTGTCTGAATGAGCTGTGAGGCGAAGTTCAGCCTCCTTCACAGCTCTGTCCAGGCGGTTTCGAGTTGATTCAAGCTCAGTCTCCAGGGCTTCACGTGACTGGCGCTCACTTTCCAGCCGGCTTGTTGTTATAGCCAGCTCGGACTTCAGGGTGGACAGCTGCTTATTGCAGCTGAAGGCAGTTTGGGTCACAGATTCTTCACTAAATTTAAGATCTCGCTGAAGATCTTCGAGCTTCTCCTTAAGGGCCTCGTTCTCCTCTGTAAGGTGGCCCTCTTTCATACTGTTGTTGGCCTGTAATCGTTCATGATCTGCCCTCAGCATGGTCAGCTGTTCCTGTAAGGCAGCAGTCTGATGAAGAAGCTCCTTTTCTCTTTCACTGGCCTCAGTGAGTTGAGACAAAGCCTGCAGAAATCAGGAGCATTTAGTTAGGCTCCCTTGTCTTTTACAAAAATTGTCATAGTTTCATTTTCAGAGTTGTAAAGTACAAATAGTTCAAATGTCAAAGGTACCCATCCCTAGTGGGAGGTCACCTCCAATTAAATGTCACTTTTGATATTTTAACTGCTCACTTTTACTCAATACTTCTACTTTTAATACTTAAGAACTTTTTTATTTCTGAAAATTACTTTTGATACTTGGGTACATTAAATGTCAAATATTTTAAGACTTTTACTCAAGTAATATTCTTAAAGCAGACTTTAACTTTTACCAAAGTAATTTTATGGTAAGATACTTGTACTTTTATTCAAATATCCAGATGACGTCCTTTAAACCAGGGGTTCCCAAACTTTTACATGCCAAGGGCCTCCAAATAACTTTAACTTCTGGCCAGGGACCCCCTTGCAAGTTGACAATAAAATACATCAATAAATGTAAAGAAATATCAACCTTTTAGAATGTGTTTTTTCTCACTTTTATTCACTTTTGAATAGCAGTAAAGCCATATTTAATGTAACTGCCTGATTTTACTTGGCCAGGAGTTTTTTACGCAGTATCCTCCATAGCAGGGCTGCTGGTCGGTTCATTTGATCTTTTTTGTCACAAACTTGTCCATTGCTACGCTGGCTTCAGACTGAACAAAAGCTGTCACTATTAACCTCGGGAGAACTGCCACCCGGTACAATGATTTTGGGTGTAGTAACATTTATTTAATTATTCTTTTAAATTTTACAAAAAAAATTAAAAATCAAAATCTCTAAGCTACTAGAATTTACTAAATAAAAACAATATGCATTATATTCTACAAAAAAGTAAATGCTAATATCATTTTCCCAGTAATATTGAAGTGTTTTTTCTGGACAGCACATAAACATGAATATATGAAGTAACTTCTACTCTTCTGGACTAAAACTGAGGCTGCATGCACACACAAAGGCTGCTGCTCCTCATTCCCTTGCTTCACTTTTCAAGGAGAGGACAAGACATGGTGGAAATAAAAC